GGGGGGGAGAGAACAGGAGGACGGCGACACACACGACAGGGTCGCAGACCGGCGGCCGCGATACGACACGTTGTCGCCCCGGGGGGGTGTTCCTGCCTCCGCGTGGCCGGTGAAACCCTTCCTCGGCTGCCGCCCCCCCCCCCCCCCCCCAAAAAAACCTCGTCCGGGTTTTGTGTCCCACCCCCCCCCCCCCCGCCATAGCGCTGTGTGACTTCTGTCCCGACGGTGCCGCGGAAAAAAAAAAAAAAAAATGTTAATTCGCCGACTACAGCTGGCAACCTTTTCGCTGTAGTCACGCACAAGGGTGGAGGAGAAGCCTGCGGAGTGAGTCATGGATTTAAGAGGCCCTCTGGTTGTTTATGGCAAAAACGGGGGGGGGGGGCTCGTTCAGCATGTGGGAAATAAGTGGAATAAGAGCTTAAATCCATAATAAAAGGGTAAGATAGAGGTACCCGTACGTACCAGGCACCCCCAGCCCCAGCTTGCTATCGGGCGGACTTAAAAAGGAGGGGGGGGAAGTTAATGTTGCTTTTGAAGGAGGAGTTGTGGTCAGACTGTCATAGCTAACTGCAGTAGTTATGCATTTGTCAGCATTTCCATTATAAGTGTAGTTTTTATGTAGTTTACAACTTGGTTATAAAAATATGCACTGGGTTGAAATTTGGTCAACGGCCTCTTCTACAGAAACATCTTCTAAGCAAATTTTGAAATGTTTCTGCTTAGATGCTAAGTGGAAATCTGTGGAAAATACTGGCTTTTTATGTTTCTCTGAACTTTAAAACTTAGCTGCTTACGCACATGGGCACATTTACAGCTGTTAAGTCCCAAAAAAATCCCCCCCCCTCCAATTATGTTAAATTGGGGAAGAGTTTAAAGGCTTGGTCTCTGCAGGCATTGTTCTTTACACGTTAATTAGTGCAGCAGAGACTCTCTGAAGACTCTCACAAGGTCCCTGCCACCTCGCGTTAGGGCACCCACCTACAGAAGTGACGTGGGGCACCGTGTCTGACCCTCGGGTGCCAGGACAGTTTGAACGCCTCAGCCCTGCGGACAAGAAGCCGGTATATGTTAACTTTGCTCTGTGGGATTTTTAAATTTTTTTTTTTTTTTTCACTGTGTCTATTCAATTGCTGCTTCTGAGACGGGGGAACAAGCACAGTGTTTAAGATAGGTTTCGTTTGTATACCTCTGTATATTCACATATCTGGGTCCTGCGAAACATGCCTGCCACCCAGTGGATGTAGCTGCTCTCTATATGCTCTATATTCTATACATTTACTACCTCTCTGCCCAGCCTGACCCTGTCGGTAAGTTTGCAAAGCAAACTGCTCGGGAGCTGTAAAAATGCCAGGCTCATCTGGCCGCCCTGGGCCTGTGTGCAGTGATGGTGTCTGTCGTGACGTGATCAGTGATGGTGTCTGTCGTGATGTGATCTGCCACCGTCCTTCCCATCCAGCTCGGGTGATGAACCAGAGGTGCATCCGCCAAGGTGTAGCAGGTCCCCAGCTGGGCAGCAGTGAGAAGAGGTAATGTGAACGAGGCAGATGATTATATGCAGAGGGAGAGGCAGTTTCATGCCTGAGATGGCTGGAGAATTGGATTTTGCAGCCCCTGCCTTGGCTGTAGGATTTCCATGTAAAACATAAAGGTTATCACACATGAGCTGTTGAGTTTGCTGGGTGCCTGGCCTGAGTCTCTGGGATCTGCCCTGTAGTTACCCTGAACTTGTCCATCTGGAACAAAAGCCAAGGGCTGTTTGCTCTTGACGTACAGAAGATGTTTTGTAGGTCTAAGCGTGCTAGAAATGCAAGTCTTGAGTGTCAGAATTGCTCGATCAGTGTCCGTAGCTTTTTGCTTTAGTCTTTTCATATCTTAGTTTCCCATCCTTAAGAAAACGTGGATAACAGTATCCTTTACCTTATGGATTACTGTAGTGATGAGAACCATAAAAGAACCTGGGAGAAAATAAATAATTCCCTCTGTGGTTGAAAGTGTGTAGTGATGCTGTAGAGAACAAGGGCAAAAAGAGGAATTTGTGTGTTAATTATAGTAAAGCTTCTATGGGGAAGAAAATGTGACCAGGTCAGTTGCAATTAGAGACTGACCTCCATGCATATAAGCACTAGGAGATGGTTTTAATTACTGTAGGCCACTTAGTTCTAATAATTCCTAAATTCTGCCATGTTAATCACATTTTTACTACTGCTTTTTGTGTGTAATTTCCTAAGTTTTCTTCCCCTTAGGAAAAGAGCCGAAAAGCAGATAGGCAGCCTAGGGTAGTATACTCATGTCACCATCCTTCATCAGCTGGATTCCTAACGTAATTCCTAGGACTCTGCTGTTTGAGCTCACTGTTGAGGATAACCAGCGGCGGGAGGTCGTGGTTGTGGTCTGTGTCGCTGTGAAGACTGGTAGGATGGGGCAGGGAAAGGGCAAGGAGGAGCAGGACTCCTGCTCCTGTCCCAAGTACCTGGTGCTGTCGTGGCCTCCACCAGCCCTTATGTGGACAGCCTGGAGCCTCCTGCCCTACCCTGGCTTAGGGCACGGTTATTTAAGCTGCAGCCCTGTCCTGCACGGGTGCTGGGGGAGAAGTTGCTTATTGCCTTGGGGTTGGCCTGTGTCGTCTGATCAGCATGAGGAGTTGAGAAGAATGTGGACGTGGCCTAGCAAATACCTACTGAAAATGCACAAAGTGCAATTCATCTTTGGACGTTTGACCAAATGCAGGTGGATTTTTCATGGCGGTAGCAAAAGGGGCACCTCCAGTATAGCGTCTCATGGCAGATTTCAGATCTGTCACCGAGAGCTGGAAGGGCGCTACAGCCTTCTAAGTTTGCCAGAGATTTCTGTTAACACTGAAAGACAGCATTTTCCCTGATCTTGTTCTGAAAAGAGTTGAAGTATTTTGGCTGAGTTCTTCTAATCACAGTCTGCCTCTTTCTGCACCCATTGCTCAGAGTTAACCTCTACAACACATGGAACAAAATTTAGCTTGAGGCAGACATTGAACTTGGAAAATTTCAACCCAAACAGTCAAAGTCTGGCCAAGTTACAAGCAGCTGGAAGCAGCATCTTGCATTGGAAGTGTTCAGCGACCGCCTAACAGGCGGTGCTACAAGCTTCATCAATACTGTGTATACGTTTATGTACATGGAAATACACTGCTGAATTATAATATTAATTAATAGGCTACCAGGTCAACTAATTGGCAGCTACTTGATTCTAATTTTTTTTTTTTTAATAGAGAATCGAACCTAAAACTCTTTGGTTAATCGTGAATGCGTTTCCTTACTCACGTTATTCATTGTTGTTTTCCTGGCTGAAAAATTGAAAACTTTAAAGTGGAGCCTCTGAAATAAATGACAAGCCAGGGCCTACTTGTTCTGAATCTTTCAGAATGACTTAACAATTGTTGAAGACCAATTTACAGAGAATTGTAGAACTAGAGCAAATTGCTTCCCAGTGTTTTGAATTGTAAAAAACCACATCTCCCAAATTCCTCAGCTATTCATCAACTGTTCTATTGTAGGAGACTCACCCTATATTGTGTCCCTGATATATCTATTAACTCTGCAGTGAAGTGTGAGTTTAAAACAATTGTGCCATGGAGTCACTGTGGAATAAATACCACAAACATTGGCAAAGTTGCTTCATAAATCTTTCTTAGTTTAGAGAGGAACTTAGGCGTGCCTTTCTTCTATGGGAGTGCAGCTGTTTCTTGTGGGGTCCCCTGGGGGCTGGATCTTGGTGTAAGGCTGTTTAATATCATTATATTCACAGTTTTTGTGGTGGTATCTTGTTGTTACCAATAGATAACATGCAGGTTTGTGCGCGTGTGGAACAAGTTACTAGTACGGTGTACTCCAAATCATTTTTTAAATGGTCAGTGTCCAGCAGAAAGCATTTTTCATGCAGCCGCATACAAAAGAACCAGCAATGCAGTTACGCCAGCAGGATAGGAGACTCTTCGAACTGGTGATCTGAAAGAAGGCTTAAGAATTTGTGCGGAGAATCATCTCAACAGGGGTTTTCATTGTAATGCAATGACTGAAGCGAGGTCTTTGGCTGTATAGCAATATAAATATTGCACAGAAATAGGAACGTACGTGGCATTAGTAAGATCACGGGAATTCCGTGTCTGGTTTTGCTGCTCACGCGTGAGGGAGGATGTGAAATATTAGTAAGAGCACAGTGGCAAAAATGATCCAGGGTTTGGAAACCAGGCTTCATAATGCAGGGTGCACAGAGTTTATTCGGCTCTGAAGAGACTGAGGGAAAATGATGCCTGTTTATATTGTATGTATGTGTAAGGAAAATACATGATAT